GCGCAAAGGGTGAAATTATATCCGAGATATAGATGGAAAAGCGACGAGAACGGACGAAGACGACGCCGAACCAGGTCAGCGAGCAACAATTATTTTGCAATGTGGCTCGAGGAATTTAATGATCGTTTATACATGTCAGATGAAAATCGAAGATTGCAAGACTTCGGTTGTGAATCTCATTTTTTTCGGATAATTATCTTTTAGCGAGATAATGTTTTTACGAGGATTGCGTGGGAGGGTTGTTGCAGATTGCTCGGTAAAAATATGAATGCCGAGGAATAATTGATGACCGACGCCGCGTCGGGAGGTTCTTTTTATCATTCGATATTTACGTTATAGGAAATTGTACGAGATAATCGAACACTTCTCAGCTTTATGGGTGTACGATCTTTACAATCTAATCTACTCAGTTTGCACATCAGCGTGAATGATCGTTTTTAATTATTCGTACTGTTGTGATCGTTAATACATCGATATTCTCGCAAATGTACACGTTGATAGATGAATTCCTCGAGACTGAATCAAATTTTACTTCCTTCCTTTCAGCAAATGACGAATAAACTCATTCGCAAGTTTCTCTAGAGATTCTTAAGCATTATTGCACAAAGTGTCGCGGTTTATTACGCATGCCAGTCACATCCTCCGAAGGTAGCCGGTTTAAATCAGATCTTTCGTGTTCTCGTTGTATAGGAAGTATCCGTTTGCTCGATAAGAATTGTTTAAGTAACTATTTCAGTGCGATACCTCGTCCGTCCAATGTCGTGCACTTATTACCGATAATAAGCGTCAGTCAGTTTTTCAACTTCTGTTACGTGATGCTCGTCGCAACGCGGCTCAAGTGGCATTATATGAAACTGCAGAAGAAGCGGTCGCATCTTGACGCGTGAGGTAATTTGTATCCTCGTGCGATGTGCTACATTTTTTTTATCGGTGCGCTGAACAGATGCAATCGCCCGATAAAAAGAAGCTGCGATATTGTATCTCTGCTCAACGTTTGTTCAACTCGAGCCGAGAATCTCGCGAATCGCGCCGATTTTCCGCGCGACGAAAGTTCTCGTTGCACGTGATACTTTCGTTAATTAACCCTTTGCACTCGAGCGTATCCTCAGCGAGTGTTCATTGTTTTCCGGTGAAATATCAATGACGCTTCTCGCAACCGATGCAATTGTCGCGCTTTTCTTAAGAGTTGACATACGACTCGCTTGGATGTTCTAGCGTTACAAGTAACAATCACAAGTTTACTTGTTTGCTCTTCTTTTTAAAAGAATGCTGCAGCGAGATTAGAACTCGAGATTGTTCCGTCACAAGTAATTATCTTGTTTAATCAAGAAGTCTGCCAAGCAAAAGTTTAACGTTATTTATACGTATAATCTCGCGAGGATAGGGTATTCTTGTATTGTTGAAAGCCTGGTCTGTTATCTTATCAATTTTCGTATCTCTGTCTCTTGTCATTTTCATTTCCTATTAGCGGCGAACGCCTTTACGCGCGAGAAGCGAACCGTTGCAGCGTTCCACCTGTCACCTTTCGCGATTTTATATAATAACCTCATAATTTACAATGCAAATGTAACTGTTCGTTCGCAGCGCTGTCTTTTTATGCGTCTGTTACACTAATCACGGTCATTTTCTTATTAGACTTCCCGTAACGATCATCTTTACTGCGCCGCTGTGTCTGCGAGTTTAACCCTTTACGATCGGCACATTTTCTTAGTGGCAGTACCATCTAGTCTGTATGTTTTCAAGATTATTTTTCTATATGGGATTCATGAATGTGAATATTGAAAAATATAGATTATTTTTTGAAGTGAATATATTTCGTAAAATAACAGTGTACTCAGAAAAATGATAATGCCATACTGGCGACACCGATTTTGAAAAGAAATGTTAAATGTCGCCACCATGGCGGCGCCGATCGTAAGAGGTTAATATATTGACACGCTCGATTTTTAAGAACGAGTATACTTATTGCATAGTTTACCGGATGAAAAGTCTGCGTCGGAGGTGCTAAAAGTCGGGGGATTACGAATAAAAGATTTTATGGCCTGGCTGTACCGGTTGTATAATTGCGACAGAACCAATAGCGATCGAAATACGTTACGTCAGTGATCAATAGGCTGCAGGTGTTTAGGCGTTGATAGAATTTTTCGAATTGTCGAACCCCGTGGATCGAATGCTTGCATAACGTTTCTAATGTTAGGTGACGCAACGAAATTTCTTGTAGCGGACTGTTCAACGATGCCTCTACCGAAAGACAGGGGAATTTTTACTTGAAATTATTTTCCAAATTCAGTCGTATATTCTGAGCTGATTTTTCGATTTTTCGATAAAGAAAAAATCCATCCGCCTAACTCGATTTTAAAGGTCGACGCAACTGGAATCTCCGTTGAAAAATTCATTTCTGTCCAGTTTCAATTTCCATGGAACTATTCGTTTCTGCTCGCAGCAATCAACATTTTCCCAGTACGCAGCATTAAAATCTGGGTCACCGTTCCATCAGATTCTCCTAAAAGATAACACGCTGGCAAACAAAATCCATCACCCAAAAATAATATCCATTTACGTAACGGACAGTCCGCGATCCGCCGAAAAACCGTGACAATAACAAATCATCCGGCCAATCCAAGAAATTTGCATAAAACTCCGCATCGGTGTGATCGATACAGCCCAACCCTCGTGGGCTTGATCCTCCATATTCCGTAAACATCACGTCGAATCGGAAACATTCGTGCACCGCTTACGGAATTTTTAATCCGCGGCCACCGAGGGCCTAGTGTCTTTTTTAACCGGTCGTCGCTGCGAAGTCGTCCGAAATTGTCGAACAAATAGACATTTGATAGAAAAATAATTCGTCTATTTGTTCCAGAATAATAGTAGAAGTAGAAAAGCAACAATACAGAGGGAAACAATTATTTTTCTATCTGTTTCTTTTTAAACATTAGCCCTTCGTCCGATGATTTCTATCAGAACTGTGTTACGATTACTTTATCATTAACCATTAAACGATAATAATCGAATGAATAATTTAAAGAAAGAATTCGATGCTTGTTCTGTATCCACGTTTAACACTAGAACCAGTCAAAACTGGTTTCGACTTTTTCGTTTAGCAATTATTGATATCTTCGAAGCATTGAATGTTCGAAATGACTTTGAAAATAAATAGTTTCATTCGAGTACTATAATGAATGTCTGAAGAAACTGAAAATAATCTATCGTTAGAATTTTTATAGGAATTGCGTATTAATCGTATTAAATGCTCGGTAGTTAGTGTTAAAAACGTCGTCGTAATTGAAATGCTCGCAAAATAAAGATTCTAGGTCGATCTGACCTGTCCGGTAGTTTCCGCGTTGAGTCGGTCGTGTTCCGTTGAAAATTCTATCGCCGATCCGACTGGATATTACAAGGGCCGAGAGTAACTCGTGACCGTGGAAAAGCTTCGTGTGCAGGTAAGCAAATCGCGTCCGCGCGCCATACGTTCGGCGAAATGGGGCACACGTACGATTGCAGTAAGGACCCCGGTGATCGGCGGCGAATAGGAGTCGGATGGAACGTTAGAACGGGGCCAAAAGGACCTATTGAAACGAGTCGCCAGGACTCCTCGAGAAAGAGAGAGAGTCCCGTTAGCCTCGTTCTATTTGTTCGTCCGTGACCCGGCCGCGACATACTAGACGCCAGTCCATCGTATTTTATCGGGCAATCGTCTTCGTCCGCCGTAATTGTGCCCGCCGACGAGACGCGTTTTCTTCCTTGGCCCACTCCCACGCCCGTTTCTCGCGTTTTCGTGTAACGACGGTCTCCGCTGGTAAAAAAAGGAACGACGCTCGGAACGATTATTGCGATCGTTCCTTCCTCGACGCCGCGCCGCTGGCTCGATCGATTAACGTTTTATAACGGAATCGTCGGACCTCGCGTTCCGGAGACATCAAACTTTATTCGTTGGAATTCTAGGACTGGGATATATGTCGTTTTGGCAATGGCCGACATTAGTGTGCCCGAATGGGGGAGTTTAGTGGATTCTATTGATTGCGGCTGTGGTTTTTTCGATGGATCGTTTGAGTGGATTGCGGGAGGTTCTCGTTTGTCGGTTTGAGATGTTCATTGGGTGAATTAAACTTTTGAACTCTGTAGGCTAGGATACTGCAGCAGTTATAATATTAAATATTTTAATGAATCTTAAAGGAATTTTTTCTTTAAGAAAGATTCTCCACATATACAAATTTTGCACTGAGAGGGAAAATAAAAGATCGAAGAAATGTTATGGCAGTTCTCATTTTCGCTAGGAATATTATAAAATTAGTTGCAGTTGCTGATAGATTACAAAACAACATGCAGTGCTAAAGGTTAACACATTGCGCACTGCTAATGAGAAATCTCGTTTTTATATAAAGACACTTAGCTATGCAACTGTGCTAATTACCACAGCATTGAAAAAATATAAAATTTGATTCGAATTGATTATCTATTTAAAATATATCACATAATAATATATCTGAGTTTTTCTATGTATAATGATGACTTCAGTACGCAATGTGTTAAGTGACGCCGGTTTCTTCATTTTGGAAGATGTTACTGTTGAAGCGGTTCATTAGCTTTTGATTTTTCATATTTGAAATGTATAAAATGAGAATTCCCTCGTGTATATATTCAAATGTTTATTGCAATTTCAGCAACGTGCAATGGTTTCTGCTGCAATCAAGACACCGAAGAACAGCTGAGACACCAAGCCAGGCAAGATTTTCACGATTTGATTCATCACCACAGTAGAAGTCTGCAGGGCCTTTTGGCAACAACGGCGGATGCACTCAGGGGTAAGTCAATCATAAAAAAATAATTAAAAAGAAAGTTTCGTCGTTTGATCAATAAACGTTGTGCAACGAATGATGCATTGGAATAAGTACTCTTTAAAATGGTTATTATATATTTTTATGGTATATGTATATATTTTTTTATTTTATACTGTTTTTGTTATGCTGGTTTAGCTTCTTTACACAGGCATGAGTAACAATTCATTCCGAAGATAAAAAGGAGTTATACAAACACAGTACTGGGAATGAATCATTTTCGAGATAAAAACACTTTTTGCTTATTTACCCCTTTAAGGAAAGTGCACAGCTTTATTCCTCCAACGCGTTTAAAAACATTAGAAACTTCATCGTACAAAAGAGTACAAGCTTTTGCAGACAAGAAATGCACGTTAACAAAAGAACCTTTTAAACCTATACGAGTCGCTCAGAAGCCAATGCAGTTAAGCCCAGAAAATTAATGTTTTTTTAATACATACTTATTCTACAACATATTCAGAAGTTATAAAAAGGACTTCGCGACCTGGAAGAAACGAAGAAACAAGTAAATCCTTTATTAACTGAAAAGAATATTGTTTATCCCAATTAAAATGTGCAAAAATCAGAAAAGTAATTTTATAAATCGCGACGTTTAATCGTTGCGTTCCAAGAGAAATGTTACGAGGTTATTCGAATAATCCTAAGCGAGCTAATATATTGAAATTAGAGAATTATTCAAAAGCAGAGCACAAAGTGATAATGTAAAATGATTTACTTGAAAGTCGGACGCGAGGCGTGACAGTAAAACGTGCATAAATCCATATTAACAAGAAAGTCGGTCGAAAGATGGCTCTTTTGACTGACGAACCGAGGGTAGAATAAGAAATGAGGGCGGCAACGACAGATTGCCAGAATGGGGTATTTTGTAGCCTCGCTGAGAGCTCCAGAAATGGGATTGTGCGAGACAGTTTCTTAAATTGGCAAAACTCAACCGCTCGGTTACTATTTTTACGTGCCAACTGGAACATCCACTTTTTCCCTCTTTTCGTGGGCACGTGCGTACGCTTTTCTCCTTCCTTTTTCCGCTCGTTTCGTCGGTTCCGTCGCCCGATGTTCCTTCGTTGTTCTCTCTGTTCCATTCTCTCGACGTATCAACTGATGCACTTGCTTACCTTAATTGTACAGTTGTTTTCATTAATCTCTCGCGCCGTGAATCAACTCGGAGATGTGGCAGTATCGCGCGAAGAATTTTGTTTTCACCTATTTCACACAGATATTTCGTTTCGTGATTGAATATAAATATTCGATGCTATATCTTCAACTTTAAAAGAATAATTATTTACAGCTTAATTGATTCATTACTTTGAACTCAGAAGAATTGCGAATAACGTTCCGCAAATTCTATTCGAAATGTTCGATGCGAATCTGATAGAATATTCTGTAACAGGAGAATTTCATTTGATATTTTATTGTTATCAAAGCTATAGACGAATCACATTGATGCCTTTCGTTCGAATAAAAATTTCCGAGTGTCACGTTTATCTCGTTCACGAAAAAATAAATATTCGCATCGCTGTTGAAGAGCACACAGGAGAACGCGGTTACCATTAAACGCAGAGCCATTCTGACCCAGCTGTAGTCCCCGACGTATTTATGTATCTCCTCATTTATTTATGTGATTATGTAAAAAGCACACGTAAAATTCCATCCACAACTCCCCGTCGAAACGTCCGCGCGAATAATAATTTCACAAACGAAAAAGCAGCCGCGTCCGTTCCACGTATTTACATAAATGAAGTTTTTCCATACCCGTACGACCCCATTCCGATAATCATCCTCGAGCATTCTATGCTAAAGAGACATTTCTTAAAATATGCCTCGAAACGAGACTTGTAATTATAAAGTAATTATCCTTTAAACGTCAGAATTTTACAGAGTGAAAGGTGCTCAACGCCGAGTGAGTTTCATTCACGGTGTTGCGAAAGATTCAGCCGAGACTCGATGATACCGAGTGTTTTCATAATTTTTCATTTCTCGATTAAAATACGATCTCTTAACAACGGCGAGATCGTAAAGAGACGAACGAAGAAGAGGTTTTTATTGGTTTCTAATAAATTCCCGCGGAATATTTCCCTAGGGATTGTTTCCCGAAGGAAAAGTTTGTGGAAACAATCGGCTCCGTACGCGTGAATATTGCGAGATCGATGCGCCTGATAAATCAAAATAAATAGTTGAATTCTCGTCGATGCTCGGGGTGTGTTATTATGCCCGCGTTATTTGATACAGAGCCTTATCTCTCGCGGAGTTCATGAAAACACATTACGGGGACTCGATAGAACGCGGCGAGCCGAGAATTTCGCTCGCGGCTCGAAAATAAAACGGAATGAAACCGTTCCTTAAATTGGAAAAATCGAGCGTATCTACACACAAACTTCTTCTTTCTTCTCCCAGTTCCCTCCTTTCACCGCTCGGTCCACGTTATTCTTTCAATTTTTTCGCCGGGACTGTTCTCCGCCCGATATCATTTAAATTTCACGAGAATGGAAATTTAAAGATTTCTTCCCAGAATGCAACGGAAGTCCGTTTATAAAGTGAAAATAATTTGATGGAACGGACAGGGAGTTCGGTGGAAATTGTCCCATGAATATTTCGCTTTTCGAAAATATGGTAATTTGTCGAATAGTATGGTTTTCTGTAATATCTCAGGATTTTTCTGACATCTGGCAGACGCGATTTCAGGCTATTTTCGATCATTTATCTTGCTTCGTATCGCGTTCAACTTATTCATTATCAATAAATACTATTTAATCCGATGAAATTGAAAATAAATATCTATTATCAATAGTGATAGAGTAAACGTTATGTTATCTGATCAGTTCACGTTAGATCCTTGTTAGTCACCGCTTGCTTCCATATAAGAGAATCATCGAATCTTTTATGCAAGACAGTCGTTAATTAAATCGGTTAACTCGTAAAATGAAAAGTGGAGAATATGTAAATAGCGCAAGTCGCGAAGTTACTTCCGGAAAAGTCTGATTTCTCATTAGAGCCTCGAAATCCTGAATTTTTCAAGTTCGCGAATAGGATTCCTCCAGACTCGGTTATCCAGTGGAGCGTGCGCAGCCGCGTAATTCTAAGATTTCAGGGAAATCGCAAGCTGAAAGGCTTTGAGGCGTCTTGGCGGGAAAGGAATGGGCTAAATACGAATCGAGCCCGCGATAGCCGGCAACACTCTTTGAGCTGGTAACGTCGCTGGCGGTTTTTCCACCCCCTTTTCTTCCTATTTCTAAGTCCGCCCTCGGCTTTCTCTCCCTTTTCCCTCCGTTTCTCTCTTCTTTCCAGACACGTTCAGCTCGCGTTGCAGCTTTCGAAGTTTTTACTTGTTCCGTCCCCTGCTGCTTTTACCCTTTCTTCCTTTGCTACCCCCGCATACGCGTACAGGGCGTTTCAAAGGCAGAATCCGATATTTACTGGACGTTACGCGTGATATTCTGAATTAATTTTGTGCAGTGAAATTAACATGGCTATTTCTAAGTTTCATTGATATTTAACGGACGTCATATGTAATATTCTGAATTAATTTCATACATTGAAATTAATATGGTCATTTATTCAATTTTGTTGTTGATATATAGGAGCGTTTCTTAATTTAATTATTCAAAACAGTCCAAGCTATAATCATAGATCAAGCTTAATCGTCATGTTATCATAATTAAGATAATACAAATTTTAATATAAAATAAAAAATCGATTCTCTCGAATGAACTTGTAAAATTCATGATTTCTCAGTTGTAATAGTACCATTTTGACGATCAGTGCGTTGAAGCATCCATCGGCCGTTTTAAATAACCTTCAAATTCAACGGAAACAGAGATTTATTTACAGCATAGAATTTCAATGGACAATAAAAACTGATCTTTCATCGAGACGCTTTTCGCTTCTCCCGGCGACTACCGTAATCCCATTAAATATCGGACTCATTTTTTTAAAACCTGGTGTACGCGCGCAACCGCGCATTCCCCCATTCCATTTTCATCCCCTTTCTTCCCGTTGCCTCCCGGCCGCTCTCTTTCCACCGATTCGTTTCCCGATACGACGTAAAAATGGCACTGGTCTTCGTCTGAATTTCGCGAAATGCTCTCGGTGAACCGGCGGTCGAGGTAAATTTAAATTCGCGGACGGCGACGATGAAACAGCGACGTTCCACGGAATAAGAAGCGGTCGGGCCAGCGAATTTGACCGGTGCGTGCGCACCGCGTTCGCCATATTTCCCTGATTGAACGCCGGGGCACGGAGAATTCCGAGGAATTCTCGCGAGAAACCGGGACCCGTTTTATCCCGATAAAAACTGAGAAAGAGTGGTCGGCTATTGTTTTCCGATATGGTCTCGCGGAGCAGAAGACTCGAATACGCGGCTTCGCGCTATTGTTTTTGTTCCATTTCAGTTTATTTTAACACTAAAACCACCATGCTTCATCTTTTACAATCGAGTCGCTCAGAAGTCAATCCGGTTAAATCGATTTTCTCATATTCTCCGATCCTTGTCAATTTTAATGGAACGAATAATATTCCTTTGAAGGATTTACTCGTTTCCTCATTTCTTCCAGGTTACAAAGTCCTTTTCAAAGCTTCTGAATAAGTCGTATAATAATTTCAGAAACTGAGACATTTTTCGCAATTTTTCTTTTCTGGATTTAACTGCGTTGGCTTCTGAGCGACTCAATTATCGAGCGACAGACGTTTCTTCGAGAAATTATCGAAAAAGATGATTCGGTAATATATAAACTGAAATATAAGGAAAATTTTAATAAACGCACGATTGTAGCTTCTACGAAGTTTCGAGAAGTTAATTCAAGTGCTCGGTAGGTTTAACGTTAATTTGTCTGAAAAACTTATGCAAATTCTGGATATCTGGAATCATTTAGGTTCGTCCTCGTATCAGCGTGATTATAAATAAATTGATTGCAGATTGTTCGTATAAATTGAAGATTGATTTGTATATTAAGATGATTTTATTGAAAACCTTT